GGGGGGGGGGGTCGATCGTGGATGCAGCAAGCCGGCAGGCAGGCAGGCAGGCAGGCAGGCACGTACAGTACGCAGACAGACAGACAGACAGACAGGCACACCCTACCCTTGCTGCTGCTGCTGCAAAGTGATGTCGTGTGCCATGTCATGTCATGTCATGCCACGCACCCACGCCGCCCGCGTCCGCGTACGCTCTTCTTCCTCGACAGGGCACGTGCGCGCGCGCGCCCACCCCATTCGGCAAACTCCTGCGCGCGCGGGTGCGGCCCTTTCTGCACACGAGCTCGGCCCCTCGGCGAGCAGCGATCATGCATGCATGTGGAGGGGACCCGGGCAGATCACGTGTGTATAGGTGCGTTGCGTGCGCGTAGACCTATCTCTCGGCCGGTAGAGGGAAGCACCGACCGATCGACCGACCGCGGTGCGCGCGCGCGCGCGCGCGCACCCTCTCTCTTCTCCGAGGGGGGAGGCAATTATTGTTTTTTTTTTTTGGGTGATCTTCTGCCCGGCTCGAGCCCTGTTGCGACTGATCACGTGAATCGTTCGCGAGTTGTTGTGGTCAAAATCAAAAAATCAAAATTTGGCCTTTTTTTGTGGTAAATTTTTGGGGGGCGGGGGGGGCCGATGGGCAGAAAGTGGATGGATGGATCAGTCGTGAGTCGTGAGTGTGAGTCGGGCGTGAGTTGTGGGAGTGGGTGGACGAAGGCGAAGAAGATGGGGAGGGCATGATGCGCGCTCAGGGCCAAGGCAGCCCAGGTCAGCCAAGCCAAGCCAGACGAAGCGAAGCGTCAAGACGTGACCGACCGCATTCGCATTCCAAATTGTGCTCCCTCACCACTCACACTCTCTGGTCTTTTGAGGGCAGAGCAGCGACCATTACGTAGCGCAGAGGCAGACGCAGACGCAGACGCAGACGCTCATCTATTGCAGTCCCCTGAAGCGCACACACGCACGCATACACACACACACGCATCATGTCGACATTCGCTCCTCGCGCTTCTCTAGGCATGTTTGCTCTTCGCATCTCGGCCGGAGCGGAGCCTACGCTGCTAGATGCCATTCACGATGTTCACATTACCAACATTTGTCTCGTCGATCCTGCCGAGAAGCAAGAGCGAGAAGGAGAAGAGGCATCATCTGCGCTGAACAAGGCAACGGCAACGGCAACGGCAACGGCAACGTCGACGTCGACGATGGAGAGCGCAAAGGCGACAAAGGCTGTCGTTAGACTGCACAGGACCTTTTTGCCGGGATTTCAAGGCGATGGGTTTGGATTGGAGGATGAGAGCGATGAGGAGGAGGAGGAGGATGATGATGATGATGATGATGATGATGATGGGGGAAAAGATACGGCAGAGGAAGAGGATGAGGCCAGCGAGCAAGTCAAGGTTGCCAATGATGAGGATGAAGAAGACGAGGAGGAGGATGACGAGGATGATGACGACGACGACGAGGAGGAGGAAGAGTTTGAGGAAGAGAGCTTTGCTGTCTGCCACCTCTACCCAGGAAAGGTCAGTTGTGCGATCTGATGGGCGGCAGAGATGGCCCAATTTCATACGCATACATGCTCATCTCCCACCATTGTCCCACCCTTCACAACCCGCCCACCCCGCGGACCTTGCAGACCGAACAAGCTCAAGTCTCGCTGCGCTTCACATCCGATGATCTCGTCGGATTCTCCGTCTCCGGCGGTTGGGCCATCGATATCATCGGCTCTTACGAGGCTTCGCCCGATGGATACGACTTGTCGCCCGATGAAGAGGAGGACTTGTACAGCGATGATGATGATGAGGATGACGAAGAGATCGATAGCGATGAGGCTGGAAGCTTGCCTGATCTCAAGAGAAGAATCGGAAGGAAAGCAGATGAGGAGGAGGAGGATGAGGATGATGATGATGAGGAGCTGGACCTCGAGTGAGCTCTTGCGATGAGCAAGTCATGCGAGCGCATTCACTGACTCCTTTTCTCTGCCCCCCACCCCCCCCTTGATGCGCTTTCGCTACCTGCAGCAGCGACGACTTGGCCGTGAGTGGCAACGATTGATCGCGATGTGCCGCTCATTTTGCGCAGCTGACACATCAGCTTCACGCCTCCACAGGCACTGATGGCCGAAGAAGACGATGAGGACGACGAGGATTTGGACGAGTACGATTCGGAGGCCTCTCGTTCGGACGAGGAGGATGCTGCAGGTCGCTTCACCGAACTTGTGGAAGAGGCGCCGACTCGAGCGAGCAAGAAGCGCGCATTGTCCGAAGTGGATGTAGACGATTCGATGGACGTCTCTACGGCAGCCGAAGTGACGCAGGCCGAATTGCAGCGCGCTGCCAAAGAGGCAGGACTGGATGCGGATCTGTCCAAATTGAGCAAAAATCAGAAAAAGAGATTGAACAAGAAGTTGAAGGCTGCTGCTGCTGCTGCTCCGGGCCAAGAGGCGCAAGATGTTCAGGTGGATGCAAAAGTGGCCCAGGTTCAGAAGCTGGGCCAGGAACCCGCTGTTGTCAAGCAGACCGCCATGGCCGCTACGACGCCTGCGGTCAATGCCAAGGCTGCGGTCAAGGACGTCAAGGTGAGCCTGCGAGCGTCTCGAGAGGTTGAGAGCTTTATTGACATTTCGTGCTCTCGCCTCGCGATATCAACAGACTGCGACGCAACAAATCAAAAAGACCAAGCTGCCATCAGGTCTAGAGATTGAAGGTGGGTGAGCAGCGAAGAAAAGATAAAATCGTACGCCCGTGCGCGCTAAACTCTGCGCTGCACTCTTTCGTACCCACGCGACTGGCCCCCGCCTCCCGCGCATCTTCCAGATCGCAAGGTCGGTAGTGGTCCAGCAGCCAAGACGGGCAATCGCATCGGCATGCGCTACATCGGCAAGCTGTTGTCGGGCAAGACGTTCGATCAGAACACCAAGGGCAAGCCCTTCAATTTCAAATTGGGCCGCGGAGAAGTGATCAAGGGATGGGATGAGGGTATAAAGGGCATGCAGGTGGGAGGAGAGAGGCGCATCACCATTCCTCCTGCCCTCGCTTATGGAAAGAGGGGTGCACCGCCCGATATTC